ATCGAGATTCCTTTTCAGAGTAAACGTCTGCTTTTAGAATATTTTTCATTGAACAATAATTACCTAATATGAACCTGACGAGTTAATGCTCACGTTGCAAATAATGGCGCACGGATAGGCGTACTCCTTTTTTATTGCATTACACATGTATAATAGACAAATTATCATTTATCTCTTATTCTCAAAGTGATCCGCAATCATCGCTTGTCCTTTCAATCAGAGAACGCTGATTGGAAGGATATTCGATGGCTCTGGACACATCTCGTGTACAATATTGCAGCGCGCAATTTTTCGAGTTTTTCGTACGATACAGCGATGTTCGTTCAAATGATCGAAACTTATCGTGACATACTATAAGCGCGACAAATCGTAACTCACAACCCATCGAATGTTTCATTTAGTCACTTAATGAATGTATAATGTAAAGTGAGAATTTGTTTGTATATACTGGTATTATATAACGATACGATATGAGTAAGTGAGAAAAGAGTAATCAATGACGCTGAGTTTGGCGAAATGCAGGAAGTATGGAATTTATTTCAGGGCGTTTTTGTATATTTATACATCGCGATTATGATGGAACGATTAATTTTATTAAAAATTTTTCTTTATTTCTTGCTTGACTTTTTTATAATGTTTGATGTTAAAAAATTTGTTTTGGTTCAAAGAATGTTTGAATTTCTGGTTATGCAAATCGCATTTTTACAAAAGATTTTAATGATAATTTCTTTGACAAACATTAAAATACGAAAAACTTGCTTTGCAAAAATTTAATGCGACAAAAGTCATTTCGTAACAATTGAAACTGTGCTAATACATTCGGCATACTTCCTGGCGTCTTATTCGATGTCCGTTCTGTCCAAGTGCGTGAAACGTATTCTTAAACCTAATTTATAGAGATATGAATTATATTTACATAATTTTATCAGTTACGTAACAACAACATTATCAAGAACTTTATTTATAATGGCATCACGATAGCTCTTATATAATGTCCGAAAAAAAGTAAATAAGATATACACAAGAACAAGATGAGAAACAATTAAAAGAACAGCGGGTTTTTTGTTCCTTCGTTTAAATATCTACTTAACTCATTAAGATTTGTGTGAGAGTTTTTAAGAAAACACATATACAGTGATTAGAAAATGCATTAAGACAATCCGTGTCGCTAACAGAATCAATATCTACGTTACGCAATTGAACAGTCGTGTAGGAAAATAACTTTTCTTTTATTTGTTCTACAAGAAAAATGGCCGCGACGCAGAATGGGTCTGCGGTTTTCGATGACCGTGGGTAAAGGCTGATAAACGCGCTAATATTGGCCCGCCCGAGCGGGTGTGCGCCATGTACAGAGAGAAAAAACAATGAATAATGAACGTCTCACTAGACTTCTATATTGCACTAGAACCTCTTTTCCACTACCTAGTAGAATGGCAAATAGGCTATTATTCTCCTATAAAATACTTATCCTCTTACATATGTACAATTTAAAAACCGCTACCGTTTTTTTCATTTTTACCTTTAACTATTACTATTTTTTTTTTTCATTTTCCTGGATATATCTCATCCTCCTCACAGGATACTGTTTTCCAACATTGGATACACATGATCACTCATTTGACAAATCTTTTTGCGATTTTCAAGTCTCATTGTTCCGACTTTTCTTACAATTTTAAATAAAGTCTCAGACAAATTTTTATTAAAATTTTAAAATGCATTTTAAATTGTCTTACAAGTTAAGACTGATAAAGATTCGTTCAAATAGCTAAGAAGTAACTTGTTTCTAACGTCTTTCTAACGTGTAAATTAACTCTGTACAATTAATAATAAAATAATTCTATAAAACATTTATTTATATTTTTGCTAAGGAAAAATTGGTATCGTGAAAATTTATATTGCATTCAAGAAAATAACTATATACTTAATTTTGTATCGAGTAAAATTGATAACTAAGTTGGTGCATATAATTTGTTAAATTACGAATCTTATCACACAATGACGAATAATATATTATCATAATTAATATTATAGAGTTGAATGTTGAAAATAATTGAAAATGATTGAAATAAAACGAGAAATCGACATTTCGGATACGCGTTCGTGTCCTTTTCTCAATTCTCTTCTATCTGTAAGGATAGAGAGCAAATTTCCAATGTCAATCTTTCGATTAGTTGATCCTCCTCGACCTGTTCTGTGAATGGATTTTCGGTGTTAATCCAGATTAATATATTTACTTCATTTTGATTACAGAATCTTGTGTCTTTAAATATGTATTATGCACTTTTTCACTTAAAAATAATTGATTCTGTGGATTTCTAGTGCTGTTTTTCAAGTAAAGCATCCGCAGCAATTATTTTCTCTTTAATTATTAAAATTCATTAGCGTTTTTTTTATAAATACAAAATCTTCAGAATTCAAGTAGTATTTATCGAACAGTACAACATGTAAAATGGTTTGTAAAACGTTAAAAATTGTTTATCGGTATTAAAAGCAATTCAAATGCGTTTTTAATTACACGTGAAGTGAATCATCATCATGTGTATCCAATTTGAGAAAATATTGCGCAAATTCCAACAATCGCGTCTCACAGCAAAAAAGAAACCCGCTTCGGTCGTGTATTATTATAAATCGACCGTGCTTTCTCATTCGAATCGTTGCTGCGTCTTACCTTCTGCCAAGAGGATGTCGATCTCGTGCTCGAGAATTTCGTTGTCACAGAACAGCGCAATACGACGGATTCTCGTCGGTGAACGAAAGGAGAAAAGCAACGAAAAATTATGAGATAGACGCGCACAGGTAGATCCACGATCTCGGATTATCCGCGCGCGTTTTACTGATCGCGCTGTATGTATAGATGGAGAAACAGAACCGGAAACTAAACTCACTCTTTCTTCTCGACGTATGCACGTCGCACACGACCGACCGCGTTTCCATCGCGCACGCGTTGATCTCACGCGAGTGGAAAGCGAGCGTATGGTATAGCGTCGTTCGCATCCCCGATACATCGGATCGATAAGGAGATATTAATCGTCGGGTTCGAAAGCAGGATGTACCAAGACTCAAAACACCGCTCTCGTTGCATTATTCGACTCCCTTTTTTTCCTGCCGTCCCTCTTTACGAAAATAGTCGGCGCATAGCGCATGGCGGATGCGCGGACGATCATAAAAAATACGAACAGAGTATAATTAATTCGTTTGCTACATGCTACGGTATTGCTTCAATATGATATGGTACAGTCTTGTCACTGATTGTCCAATATCACTACGTAAAACATTTTTCTTAGCTCTGTTAGTTTGTTCTTTTCTCTCTTTCTCTCTCTCTCTTTCGCTCTCTCTCTTTCTCTCTTTGTGTCTACATTCCCTCGTTCTCCTTTTCTCTCATTTTCTCTCTCTCTCTTTCTCTCTCTCTCTCTCTTTTTCTCTCTTTCTCTCTCTCTCTCTCTCTCTCTCTCTTCTCTTCTCTTCTTCTCTCTCTCTCTCTCTCTCTCTCTCTCTCTTTCTCTCCTAGATTTCAATCTTTTTCTGATTCTTTTTCGCATACGCACTACATTCATACATCGTTCACACGCGCGCTATCGTTCTCTTCACTGTTTACACTGCACTGAGCGTCTGCATTAGGATTAATATCACTTTTTCTTCGGCGCGACGTACCCGCGCGTCGTCGTTATAACAATACGTACTTTATATTTTTATGTTTCGAGTTGTACTTTTCAAGACGCGTCGGTGATCCTCGCCCCTAGGCGTTCACTCGTCACGGCAGGCTCGTCCGTGAAAGACGAACGACGAGAAGTCTCTCTCCCTCGCCTTCGTTCCCGTCGGGATTGTCTCCCGACGATCGATCGTGCCTTCAATGATTATTGCTCAGTAAATTATTGCGATGGTAACTTGGTGATTTACGAGCGTTTCCGATGTGTTATTTTGCGCCGTAAATGTGATATCGACTTTCTATTACGTAAAATATCATCTGCTGTTATCAGAGGTAAAAAATGGCTAAGAACGCGATTATGATAAATAGACAATACGATAATATGTATTGTATGAATTTTTTTGAACAACTCTTATCCAATTAAATATTATCGTTTTATAACGAAAGAGTATAATTTTTTATTTTCCTAATTTTGCTAAATTTTTTATAATTGTCGAAACTGCGACAAGTTGCAAAGTTCTCGTAATATTTAGATATTTTTTGCACTTATGCATGATGTTTTCAGCTAATAAATTATTGGTAAACTACAATTGCGATAATACGTACAAGTTTTTATATATCTTTATAAACGATAATTTTGTATTTTTAATTAAATTTTTAATCATGCATTTGCGAAAATTGATGCAATGTTATAGACGAGAATCAAATTTTAATAGAAACTCGTTAAATTTTGAATCACCTGTCATTCCATGTCCGTATATCAAAGACATACGCAATAGTATCTCTATTGTGGATTTATTTTGCATGAGTTACGGGATTTCGCATGTTTGTGTCTGCGAGAAATATGATTGAAATCGGCACCAAACGGCGATTTCGACCGCGGATGTCATGTAGCAAGGGGTCGCAAGGCAAATGGCATCGTAAACTGTTTTATCGCGATCGTTGGCGGTGTGTTTCTCGATCTTGTAGTTTTACAGACTTCGGAAGCTTTACTTCGGAGGAGGTCGCGAGAAAGTGTTGTCTGACTAAAACATTGTAGTGCCACCATATCCAAATTAAATTAAATTCTTTATCTAATAGCTCTTTTAAAAGTACAAACATAATGTAAATCTATTTTTATAACTTTCTTTTTGATAATCCAAAATCTTTTGATAGTCTATTGTGCAATAATATTAAGCAAATTTTCAAAAAATTCTTGCTTTTAATTATTTCGGAATTTATTTGAGTTTATTCATAATTTTTTTATAAAGAAGAAAAAAGTTATCTATGATATTAAAATATTCATAACTTTCGTATTTTGATTTATTGCAAATGCAAAATTCGTCCTACATTTGCCGTTTAATTACAAACGAGTATTGCAGCACGTATTTTGCTTTGAAAACTTAAAACTACTTAGCATATATTATAGCCTGGATTCTTAAAAAAAAGGTAACAAATGTTATATCCTGGATAAAATGTTCGAATCAAACTGTATTTACGTAACCCCATAATGTTACTATGCAACGCAAATCCATCATTACAACGCTTTCTGCTAATGCAAATGAAAATATGAAGAAAGCTCTGATGTATTCCGGGCGCATCTCTCCATTTTTCGAAATCATACCGTTGAAAGCATCATGCATTATTTCAATGTTTTTTTCCCGGCATTATCTGTATATTATTCGCAGATGCGTGATTCGCACCTTTTTTTATTAGGAACAAAAATTAGTCTCGTATTTTTGTTTGAAGTAAAAAGGCGCTTATGTGTATACTTGGATTTATTTACTTATAAGCGTATAATTTTAACTTTTTACCGTATATGCGATGTATGTAAAATTTTTCGCTTCGACGTTTTCATTAAGGAAAAATTGAATAGAAATTTGTCGCAGTTTCTGTCGGTTTTCAATCAATTGATCGATTAAAAGTGAGTACCTTACATAAAAAATCGTTGTTTTCAACGACTTCATTTCGCATAGAGAAAACGATAATATCGATTTGGTGGATAGAATTGATTTCGATATGGATATTTGTATTTATTGTGATCGCGTATCGCGACGACATTATCCATCGTAAGACATTCGTAAATGTGTCACCAGCGTTACGTTCAATGATTGCACTGGAGTTTTATCGTCTTAACATCACAACGGGAGGTAATCGCGCACGAGGGCGAGAGAGAGAGAATCGCGCGCCGACGGGTCAAGAATAGCTCCCTGCAACCGGTGATTCCAGAATATGCGTTAATCGGCATATTACACACGCGCAGTGATAACAAGCGATTGCATCGTCAGCCTGTGACAGCCTCGTGTACCGAGAGTCTGCCCATAATATCGAGCCATCGATAAGATCATTAGGAGCCGGACGACTTTCCGCGTGCGCGGACACCTCGGCGACGGCGCGTCCGGCGACTCGGGATTCTCCTCGCCGCGTTGTCCACCGCAAGCGGAAAAGTCTCCTAGGCGTTCATAGTCCTCCGGGCCTCTCACGGCCACGCCTGAAACTCGGTCAGGGGTTCGGGTTTCGGCTCGAGACTGGGCAGTTGGTACGGTCAGTTCTGCTGTCACAAGCCACCCTCGGGTCAATGTTGAGCCGCGAATTTCATGCGCTTCTGCTTCTGCCGCTGATTGCAGAACCAGACGCGTACGACGTTCTTTTTGAGGTCGAGCTTCTCCGCGATCGCGGCGATTTTCTCGCCCGAGGGACGCGGCTGCACGGCGAAGTACGCCTCCAGCGAGCGTTTCTCAGGCGCGGCGATGCTCGTGCGTTTCCGTTTCTTTTCACCGGCTGGTAAGACTGACGGCGCATCCGGGTCGCGTCGTTTATTCTTCGCCTGGGCCTCCGCCTCCTCCAGCCACGCTTGGAGAATCGGTTTTAAAGCGATCATGTTGTTGTGCGAGAGCGTGAGGGATTCGAAGCGACAGATCGTCGACTGCGAGAGCGCGCCGACACCCGGTAACTTGAGATTAGCGAGCGCTTTGCCCACGTCGGCCTGCGTGACGCCAAGTTTGATGCGTCGTTGCTTGAATCGTTCGGCGAAAGCCTCTAATTCGCGTGGATCGGTATCGGCGTCGGGATGAAGACCGGCCGCGGCTGCCGCCGCCGCCGCGGCGGCCATCGCCGGATGATGATGCGCCGGGTGCGGCACGCTACCGCCACCCCCGCCCAGATTGCCGTGATGATGATGATGGCTCATCATGCCGTTCATGCCGCCGTACACGGACGGACCGTGGATGCCCGCGTGATGCCCGGGCCCGCCGCCCGTGCTCTCGGACATCGGCGTCAGTGTTGTCATCGAGTTCGCTGGGTCCAGCATGTCGAGACTCTCCATCCCCGGATGGCTCATCTGAAACACGCAAGTTAAGCATCCTCAATACGAGCGATGTATCGCGATTGTGGAAAATTCTTCGATGCAATGTTTCTGGTGTAATGATTATTTTGAAAGCTTTGGTAAAGAATTGGCGCTGGACATACTGACGCCGATTCTTCAACGAGACGATATGATAATTAGTGCCGCCTTACGACTAACTGTTTGAAACTTGATTAGCTGCGTAAAGATATATATAGAATAAGATCTACACTATTTGATTTTTATTTCTCTTTTTTTGTTAAAATTGAGGCTCTTATTTTCTAATATATGTTGCAATATTGCTTTTATCTGTTTAAAAATTTTACGACAGATTTTTTATGTTGTTAATTAATTCTTGTGTTACTAATATCATAATCAATCATACATTAGCTTAAGAGACAATCTATAATTGATTTAGTTAACTATTAATAATATTTATTAAACATTAGTAATATCTAAATTACATATGCTGAAATATAAATAATCTTAAGAGTTTATTAATATAAATTTCTTAATGGCACATTTTGAAATTATTAAAGATCGTTATTAATAATTAAAAGCTAGCAAAGTGATGTTTTAGCTAATTTACTAAAGTTTTACTTTAATTTAATATTCAGTTACCATTTATTGGCGCGATATTTAATATAAAAAGTTAAATAGAGATAGATTAGATATTTGAAATTAAATTGATCACGAATTGAGGAAAACAATTAACTTTTAAAAGATTTTTGTTACAAGTAGCATTTTTTACACATCATTTATTTATCAAACTTCAAATAGTTTTGGTAAAACATCTGCAAACTGTATGCTGTTTTAACGTTGCATGAATCGACATATTAAAGTCAAATCGTAACAATATATAATTATACCTAAATAATAATTTTAGCATATATAGAATTTGATTTACAATTCTACAATATTTACACACACATATATATATACATATATACAAAATATGAAGTAAATACATAGGATAAAGTGGAAACGCAAATACGGAGGTACACGTTGAAAGGCCGGATGCGCGTCGTATCGCCGAGTTTGCGGAAATGCATTTTGATGAAGTACCGTCGTGGTGTGGGGAAGGCATGAATGAAGGGGATAAAAAGCAAAGTTAGGTCGAGTGCGGTGGGAAGAGCAGGAAATATGTACAAGCTAACACGCATAATTATGCAGCACGTGCCGCGGCCGTCGTCACGAATGCAGAACGCACCTTCAGCACAACTCTTTGCAAATTATTTATGAAGTCTTTTCATATTTTTCTTCGTTTAAAGTGCCGTTACATAGGTGACATGCTGTTAACTCGTTTTCTTAATGTTAATATCGGGTGTTACATCTGTTTAGTAAGCGAGACGAGAGATGCAATGTCAGTTAAATGCGATAAAGCGCAAATTACAAGTAGATAACTAAGACAATTTTTTGTTTAATTTTACTTAATTGGAAAGATTTTTCACGCGTATAAAAGATATTTTTCTTATATTTGTTTTCTATTCTCTTCATTTTTCATTATTTATAATTTACTGAAAATATTCCAATAATACGTATATCGTGATTTTCATTTAAGACGCGTTATGATCAGTTTTATCGATTAACTTATTTTAATCGTTAATCTTCCCCAGTGTATAATTTATTCATCATGTTCTCTACATACTTAAGTATGTAAAGTATCACACATACACACACATATGCATTAGACCTTGTTTGTACACATAAAATCGTCTAGTCTCACGAGAATATACTAAATTAACTAGACGCCACGGTTTCGACCATGGGGACAGGACATGTAATTAGAATTAGTTCGCGGATGTATTTCAGAGGTAAAATGTTCTTTGTACACATACGATAAACTCATTATAAGAGAAAGTTATATATTCGCAAACGACATTCCCAAAATTTATAATTCGCAAGAATAATATTTATAAAGGGACTTTGAGCGCTCTTGTCAATCAATAAGCACATCTGTCTAAAATTTCACATAAATATTCAAAGCATATTGTACACACATTTTTTTAGTAATATTTTTTCACGTGTGTTTACGTATACAGTTTATTGGGATTCTTTTTTGCCGAAAATTGAATTTATTTGAAGCATAATTTAATATTCTTTTACTTGGTTATATTCTGTATCAATTATTCCCAATTTCAAGCTGAAATTGTGAATATCTCCGCGTTAAGTACGTAACACCGAGAAATCGCTATAAAAATTGCTACTAGAAGTATCTACGTCGTTCGCAATCCGGCCATTACCTCGCACACATTCATATACGATCTCACAGGGTATCGGCTTATACATGTACACATATATACACGCGTACGCAGCACGCGCATCATCTATTCTCATGAGAACAGCAGTATAGCGAGCTAACTGGATGGCACGGTTTCGGTCGGCGTTGGTGCTCTGGGATAGCGCAGTTACATCAGAAATGCAGGGGGTGCGCACTCTGCACGGACGCTCGGTCGGGCGGCGTGGAAAAGGCAGAAGGTGGATGCTGTGTCGGGGAGCCTCCGGACCGACCGGTGGCAAATATACAGTGTACGAGGGTGGGGGGGACCTTGCACACGGGCGTACGAGGTAGGGCCCCAGGGACCTGCGCAATATTTCATCATTACGCTGACACGATGGTAGGGTTAGCCCGAGCTCCTCTGTGTTTTGCTCTTTCTCCTTGCTCTATTGCCCACCTCACCCTTAATTTTTCTTTCCCCTCTTTCTTGTTCGCCGCGCTGTTTTCTCCCATTCTCTCGTGCGTGCACATTCACGCGTACGCCTGTTTTTACATCAGAGCTTTGACGCTTTTGTCTTTCTATTTTGCCTTTCCTCCCTAAAATGTACCTGTTCACCGAAAATCTGCTTTTTTTACTGCTCATTGTTTTCTCTCATTCTTTCTATATTTTAACTCATGTACATGCATATGTTTTCTCTCAATTGGTAGGTTCATGTGTCTTTTAAAGTTTTTAGAGTATGATTTTACGTTATTTCTACTGCTCAAGCTGTATTGAGACGAAAAGTTTTTCTTTTTTTGTCACGATGCATGAAATGAAGAATCATTTATACAATAACCGTAAAATCTTCAAAGTTAAATCTTTGAATAGTTGTACATAAAGTCAAATTAATTATATCAATAATTGCGATCTATCAAAACTATTCAGATTGTTCTACTTTTTAACGATATATTTTACAAAAGTAATCAAACATCCTAATCATCACGGGGTTTTCTGTGCTCATAGAAAAATTCACCGCGCTAGATGGAATTAAAATATGAAATTCTAAAGAATTTATATCTCAGCGGCATTGAGAAATCAGGAAGACCCATTTATGACCCTGAAATCATGTAGGCAAATTCGCGGGAAGTCGGTACGAGAAGTTAAGCAAAATTCGCGTTGAGCCCTCGCCGCAGATACGAGCTGTGTGTACCCTTAGAATTCATCGCGCCCTGTCGAGAGGGGATATTACAAGCAGTCGCGACATAGAGATAATATACAAGCAACACGCCCCTATATTTGAGAAGATCATTCCGGGTCGATGCGCATTGGTTACCCGGCGTCGACCCGGCGTCGACCCGCCGCTCCATTCATCAGCATCAGATTGCTCAGATTAGCATAAGGTACGCGGGGCAACAAATTGAAATGCGATTCGCGCGTAATCATACGTCGCGCCAGTTTCTAAGCGACATAATTGCGCCGAGACTGCCGCTATCGCAACACGGTTGCACAATTATAAATATAATGGCGGCTTATTAACCATTAAAACGCAGGAAATTAAAATCGTTGTCTGCATTGTTCGTAATATTAACAAATAAACTGCGTAAATTAAATTTTTCAATTCGCCGATTAAATATGAATCTAAAATTAATTGCTGCGTGTAATTAATTATTGGCAACGATTTTAACCGACTGCTGGACTCGTTACATTTTATGGATGCATCGACCCCTCCTCCCTGTCCCCGTCTCTCCTTGTTACCCGGGAGTTTACGAAACAATTGCACTTTTATTACGATAATTATACAGGCAATTTTTATTATCAGCAGTATTACTGAATTTCTGAATATCATGAAATTTCTGAATACATTGTCTAAAGATGCAAGAATATAAATGCGGAAGTGCGTAAATTATTTAATTTAATATTTAATGTGGGTATAATTAAATATGTGGTCGCGTCGTGCATATTTTATGTAATATTTAAGCAGCTTACGTCGCGCGATTAATATTCGCGTTTATTTAATTTTTCTTTTACAATAAAATGTTATTATTTCAATGAAAATCCTACCTTATTGTAAAATTTGCAGCTTATTCGTACACTGCGTAAGGCAGTTATGTTACCGCGTAACATGTATCTATTATATGCGATAGAATAATGTGTCATAAATGTAGACTCACGAGAAGGTGTGATTGTACCTGATGATGTGGCCGGTTGTTTGGATGGGGGGTGGGCATGTGTGCTCCGTGATGGTACACAGATACGGGATCATGCTTCAGTTGCATTGGTGTCCCAGCGTTGTGCTTCCCCAAATCTGCTGCCAAAGCCTCCGCTCTTGAAAGTATGCCATCTTGAAAGCCGCTGTTTAAGCCACTTAATAAATCACCCTGAAACACGGAGCATATTATGTATCAGTGAATGAAATATTAAAATAATATCTTTGAAATTTTTTTAAGTAATTCGAGGAGTGACTGTTGCCTTATGAGACAATTTTTACAATCACACTTGAACTTTCTTCTTCTATTTCATACTCTTAAAAAAATTCGACATAATTAAATAATATCTTTTTCAACTTTTTGATACTAAATTTGTTTTGATATATTTGTTTATTTTTATTTATTTATTATTGATTTTACTTATTGCATTTTGTATAATAAATTAGAAACATATAAAGAACAAGGTATATTATGCATTGCATTTTGTAGACGTAGACTAGCTCTTTTTTTGCATAATAATAATTCAGAAATTGGTTATAATCCATTATTTGCCATATAATTTTTATTGAATTTAATCCGTTTGACGTCGTCTGGGCAACAGCGAGTTTGTGTGCCGAACGACAACATGGCTGTACGATCGATATTCCGAAAATAGTTTTGTTATACGAGACACTGGAACGTTTTGCGAGTTTTTTAGGCTCTAAAAAATTTCTATCGCTTAAATCGCCCTCTTTTACAGCTTTCTCAGGACTTTCCATTGTTTCATTGTTTAAATTTAATTACCAGCACGAATTAGACAAATGGACAAAAGTTTAGATTTTGTTAATTAGCATAATTTAAGTGAATATATACAATATGCTGTAAATGAATGTTGAAAAATGATACTTGTTATTTAAAAATATCTTCTTATTCGATTAGGATTTCAACTGTAATTCGAGGTAGTAGTTCAGCGGGTATATTTGCTTCCGCGAAATTTTTAACTCGTATTGTAAAAAACTTTTTAAAATAAAACTACGAGAATGCATATGTTTGCCGGCATTGCGTTATACATAAATTTTTCATTCGAACGTTAAATTGCTTTTTCTTGAAGACAAGTTTATTCGGGCGGAGTTACGATAAGTTCCATCGTGGTCTCGTATAAAGGGTTACAAGTTTGGTGAGAACATTCAAAACATTTACGTATCGTTTGAACTACGAACATATGTCGCAAGGGAAGTGTTTATAACTCGGAAAAAGATCGTTTTTGAACTCGCATTTTTACATGACATTTTTTCCCACCCTTAAAATAGCACTATCGCACCCGCGAAATATCTTAAAATTTGGCCATTTATTTCGGAA